CTGGGTTTTGCCCCTTTGAAAGCATTCACGGAATGAGCACCCTGAGCAATAGTCTGGATCATTTGACCTTTGCAGGCCAGACAATTCCAATTTACAGCCACCTATAGAGTGAGACATGGTGCCATATAATGGTTAGAATGGACAGATTGCAGGGAGGTAGGGTTTAAAGATTATGGAGGCTGCAGTTTGCCACCAGTGTCAAATATTAGAGATTTTTAAAAGGTGTTTTTAAAGAAAGAAACTAGAATTAGCGCTTCATGGTCGTATGCCTCCCCCAACCAGTCAACTTCATGGGTATGAGACAGAAGTGAGGTCATTGACCTTGACCTTTGGCTCAATTTACCAGTCATTTCCATTTGCCTGATTTGCTTTTTTCTACATTATTTCACACTTATGTAAAATTAAAATTGTGAACATACTCTTCACATACATTTTGTGTCAGCTGTCATACTGTCAGTGCAGCCTTCAGCACAGAGGCTTTGCGCCAATTAGATCATCTTTGGCCATTTACTTTGTTTTCATGACAGAGATTGTGGCCCTCAGGCTGGAAATATAAACTTGATGACAGACTTTTTAATCAGGCGTGAGGTGGCCAGCAGCAGTGTCTAATTGAACCTATTATAAACTTATTTGCCTTTTAAATGTTTCTTCATTTCAAATATCTTGTGGGTAAATGTTTACTGAGTGCACTGTTATTGTATAACAGAGATGAGGTTGGAAAGCAAGGGCTAATTTGCACAATACTCAGCTGACACATGCCAGGATCTTGTCTGATGATATTCATGTTAACATAACCCCTTATTTGCATTTTAAGGAAAGGACCTAACCCCGTAGAGCCTGACACAGCAAAAAATAGCCAGAACATTCAAATTTTTTGCAACTGAGATGTTTATTAAACCTTTTAACAAAATCCACAATATAATTTATGATTCAAAATTCAAGATTCACGATTTTTATTTGCCATAAATGCATACACAGACAGTCCAGCCATATAGGAATAGATGTGCCATATTATTTAGATTATTTCTATTTCTTTTATATCACATTTGATACATGGGGCATTTTTGGCGATTTTTTTTTTTTCGCTCAGAAACCTCACATATCAAATATGATACAAATGGTTTTATAGGGTTAATCAGCCTGATTGTTCCTTTAACATCAACCTTAAAGCACCATTTTGTTGTGGTATTTTCACTGAATACTCATGGGGTGTTAGACAAAATAGTCAGGAGCCAGCTGTTAATGTTTGCTCTCAGTCCTATCCTTGAGCTACAGTACTAGGTGGAATAGGTGGTGTGTCGTCCGACCACATATGAAGGCCAAAAACCTGCTGTCATAGCCTCTTCCAGATAGATCTCACATGCTTCCCTGATCTGTCTCCAAGAATGATTGTTCTTGTCTATGCAGTCTTGACACAAATGGGGACAATGGCATATAGTTTGCTGTCAGTTTCCTGGTGTTGCGCTCAGTTTTGTGGATACTTGAATGTGTAACAGGTGGATTTTCTTTTTGTTGAGTTGGAGAGTTACAAAATCACTGGAAAGTTACATAAAGTGCAACTTTTTCGGAGAGCTGCACTTCTCAACCAGAACATCATAAAGCAGCATCATTGTGCATATAATGTAATTTGCTGGAGCGTGATTGTAACTGTCAAAGTTACAATCCACGGCTCGTACCGTTTACCTGTGCGAACATATAGCAGAACATTTGCCTAATTTTCAGCAATATTTTCCTTTCTCTCACACAGATAAAATAGAAAATGGTGAGGTGTACCAGAGAAGGAGAGGAACTCATCTGGGCAGCTCAGATGGACAGGAAACAGCCAAGAAGCAACAGGATGTGGTTGGACAGACAGGAAGCAGCTGGCGGCGAATTCTTCTCCTCATCCTCGCTATCACCATCCACAACATCCCAGGTGAGAAGTAGCCATAGGGTACTGTCTAAAGTATCAGTCAAGGGAGTCTGTTCACTAACGTCTGTATTTGGCAGATAGAAGATCTAATGCACTGTCAACTATAAAGTGTTGCTGGCGAAGTTAAATTGAATTCTCAGTGTCTGTCTCGGAGTCTCTGTCTCTGCTGTTCAGAGAGTGGAAGTTGGCTTGCAAACCTCTGAGGTACAAATGTAATGTGGTTCACTGACTTCCATTTGACTGATAGGTGGCAGCTGGCGTATGTAAATATATCATCATGGCTTTCTGTATAAAATAATAAGTGACCTAAACCTTAAAAGGCCACACCCAGGTTATGTTACCTTTGGCTTCTTGTTGTTGACTCTTAGTGGCATTATGACAATTCAGCAATCATATGGAGCGGCCATGATGAATACCAAGCTGAAAAAGCCATCACTCCGGCCACCTTCCCATAGGTTTGAAAAGCTACAAGAAACTTGATTTAGAATAGAATTCTATGGAAGCCCATTCCCGCCAGTTAAAAGAGAAAAAAAAGGCTCTAAGTCGTTATTTCTACTTAGCTATGTCGGAATTTCGACTTAGCTATGTCAGAATTTCGATTTAGCTATCTAGTTATTTCTACTTAGCTATGTCGGAATTTCGACTTAGCTATGTCAGAATTTCGATTTAGCTATCTAGTTATTTCTACTTAGCTATGTCGGAATTTCGACTTAGCTATGTCAGAATTTCGATTTAGCTATCTAGTTATTTCTACTTAGCTATGTCGGAATTTCGACTTAGCTATGTCAGAATTTCGATTTAGCTATCTAGTTATTTCTACTTAGCTATGTCGGAATTTCGACTTAGCTATGTCAGAATTTCGATTTAGCTATCTAGTTATTTCTACTTAGCTATGTCGGAATTTCGACTTAGCTATGTCAGAATTTCGATTTAGCTATCTAGTTATTTCTACTTAGCTATGTCGGAATTTCGACTTAGCTATGTCAGAATTTCGATTTAGCTATCTAGTTATTTCTACTTAGCTATGTCGGAATTTCGACTTAGCTATGTCAGAATTTCGATTTAGCTATCTAGTTATTTCTACTTAGCTATGTCGGAATTTCGACTTAGCTATGTCAGAATTTCGATTTAGCTAAGTCGGAGTAACTGGCGGGAATGGGCTTCCATAGAATTCTGATTTGGAGTTGTACTTTTTTTATTATATCTTATTTAACCATATTGCTGCAGCCTACAGTATTTAGATGAAGCACCCAATAATCAACTGATTTCTGATAAAGAGGTGTGTCATTTCACAAAACCGCCAGTGAAGGATGGTCTTATGTATCCTTGGACATGGCTCTCCAGTACCCTCCTCACTCCTCAGTCCTCAGAGGCGATATAAGAGACCTGGAATGTCCTCAGTCGACCAGAAAGACTTCTGGGTCAAAGGAGGATGCAAGAACGATCTTATAAGAGACATGAGATGTGGCCCACCCTATCCTAAGATTCTTTGCACACCAGCACGTGCAGAGCAGCTGCAAAGTTTGCTAGGCAACAGGAGCACAACGGTAGGCGCATGAATAGTTGGTGTGTAAACAGGAAGTCCTCTATAGACCAGACCATCTCATTTCAGTTTGGTCTTTGCGGTGTATAACAACTACGAAGGTGAAGGATACGGCCCCTGAATTTAGATACAGCTTTAGAGGCTGAATTTGGAAATATAGCATTTTATGATTAGCGTTTCAAACTGAAACTTTGCTGTGAAAACTGAACCTAAACAGCAGTAAAATACAAGAAAATGTGTTGTAAAATCTCATTACATCTTCAGCTCCATTTTAAAGAACTTTTCACACATTTTGTAAGCGTCTCATTTTCACAGTGCTGCAGATATGCAAAGAAAAATCACATTATTCCTTATGTGGAGTGTTTTTTTTTAACTGCTGTAGCTGTAGCTTTCTGGCCAGGCAATTAAAGTCAGAGAAGCTTTTAACATCTCTGCATTTGTGAGGAAATTGATTTTTACTCCGCTGCATTCATCTTATGGTTTGATTAAATGTGGAAATATAGATTGCATCATCAGTAGAGCCCTGAGCTATGGACAGCTAATCATTTGCTCATAAAGTGTAGCCCATATAATTAATGAGAAAATGTGGTTTGAGTTGTTTGAACTGCCACCTTATTGTGGTGGAGGGGTTTGAGCACCCGAGTGATCCTAGGAGCTATGTTGTTGGGGGCTATATGCCCCTGGTAGGGTCTCCCAAGGCAAACAGGTCCTGGGTGACGGGTCAGACTAAAAGTGGTTCAAAAAAGCCCTTTATGAATAGATTTAAATCAAGGACTGTGACGTCGTCCGGCATGGCACAGGTCTGGTGGGAACGTTTAGCAGAATCCCCTGTCACAGAGATCTTCAACTTCGGCAGAGTTTTGACCAGATCCAGGGGGAGGTTGGAGACATTGAGTCCGAGTGGACCATGTTCTCTGCCTCCATTGTTGATGCGGCCATTCGGAGCTGTGGCCGTAAGTTCTCCAGTGCCTGACGCGGCGGGCATCCCCAAACCCAGTGGTGGGC